GAATTTAACTAGTACCCTTAGTCTTGTCCCTAACAATTTCTCCAGTACCTTGTCCACTTCTCTTTCGCTTTACTATGTTTTATTGTGAACTAACTAAATCTAGTTGCCATATCTAGGAACTGCAAGATGATTTTTTTCCCCTTATCCCATACCTTTCAGTCCATTATTACTAATTTGTTGAAGTATCATGTTCATTACTGGGTGACTCACTATAGGTGTGATGGTGCTATTCCCTATATTTAAGAGCAAGGGTATTTCACTTGAAATTTTGTCTTTGCTGATGAAGTGATTTACCCCAGTTACATCAGAAGTAACCACTGTTCATTCTGGCATATTTCAATATGCTGTCATCACCAAAACTGAAGCAGGTAGAACTCTCAAATTCCTTAACCGTACTTATTTGTTAAGAATCTAGCTAACATTTCAACTAATCCATTCCATACGCTGTGGATGGGGAGCCACTGTTTCACACAGTGCAATTGATTGAGTCATAACTAAAGCATTCATTACTGGTCCAAAGCTTCTTGCAACAAGTGTAATTCCTTCTGGTTGGTCAACATCTCTTCCTTCCAAACTTTCCAATCTCACACATGATTTCAAAAGTCTTGTTATTAGGACAATTCATTACATAATGTATTTCATGTCATACCTAAAACACTTGTTGATCATACCTTGAGTATTTATGGGTTCACTGTTCTGGCATAGTCCCCCAACTCCTGCAATCTGTTGTAATTGCCAGATACCTCTTCTCACTCCATTTAATCATACTTTTCCTTTTGTACTGATGCTTATGGCCTGTATCTGTGCAGTCATGCATCGCCACTACCAATGAATGCTTCTTTTGTCCGAGTGCTAAATGAAGGCATTTGGAAATGAATGTTTTCTCAGGATTTTTAAAGGCTTCCTACTCAAATTTAAAACTGTTTCTTTTCTGAAAAATCTAACCCCATTTGGGTATTTATCCACATTCAACAATTTCGAGCAACCCAACAATTGAAGGGCAAGTACTGAATTAGGAATCTCCCAAGTAGGATTACTGCAGTCTTGTATATGGTCTGTTAAATTCCACGACATGTACTTTGACAAATTTAGAAAACAGGATGGATATTTCAAAGTCTGACCATGCCTCGTTGCATGTAATAGCACATTTTTCTTGTTAACATTTATGGGCTAAATGTTTTAGAGTTCCCAAATTTTTCTCCATTTCCAATTGTTAAACCAAAACTCTGAGAATACTTTACTCCTGATCTTGTGACACACATCCACATATTCTCGAATTTTTAATTGACTATAAGGTTCAGCTTCAAAAAACACGTATGAAATCATGTCCCAATACTTTGCCCTTGGTCTCAGCCATTCTTCTCATATACCCCAGTAACTCCTAATCTTCTGTCTGAAAAGAACTGTTATGTGCAATCTCCACCTTTATGCAACCATCCACCCCTACCAATGTCAACCTGAGATCAAGCCAGTCAGCAATACAGAAACCAAGAAGCCTCGGTTTGTGGATAGAGTTTATTAACTACTCAGTTTAACAGTTCCTCCTCCAGTGGTCCCCACCATCACAGATACCAGTCTTCAGCCAATTTGATTCACTCCATGCGATATCAAGAAACAGTTGGAGGCACTGGATACTGCAAAGGCTATGGGCCCTGACAACATTCCAGCATTGCCGCTCCCCTAGCCAAGGTCTTCCAGTACAGTTGCAACACTGATATCTACCTGGCAATGTGGAAATTGCCCAGCTATATCCTGTACATAAAAAGCAAGATAAATCCAACCCGGCCAATTACCACTCCTTCAGTCTACTCTCAATCAGTAAAGTCACTATCAAGTAGCACCTGCTCTGCAATAACCTCAGTGACACCAGTTTGGATTGCATCAAGACCACTCAACTCCTGACCTCATTATAGCCTTGATTCAAACATGGGCAAAATAACTGAATTGCAGAGGTGAAGTGAGAGTGATTATCAAGGCCACATTTGTTCAAGTGTGACATTAAGGAGCCCTTGGAAAACTGGAACCAATGCTTCTCGGGGGCAACCTGTCCAGTGGTTGGAGTCATGCCTGGCATGAAGAAAGGTGGTCATTGTTGTTAGAGATCAGTCGACGCAGCTCCAGGAGCTCCTCAGGCTAGTGTCCTAGACCCAACCATCTTCAGCTGCTTCATCATTTTCCTTCCCTCCATCACAAGGTCAGAAGTGGGGTTGTTCATTGATAACTGCATAATGTTCCGCACCATTCACAACTCCTCAGATACTGAAGCAGTCCATGTTCAAATGCAACAAGATCTAGACAATATCCAGGCTTGGGCTAACAAATTAAAAGTAACATTCGCACCACACAAATGCTAGGCAATGACCATCCCCATTACGAGACAATCTAATCGTTGCCACTTGACTTTTAATGGTGTTACCAACACTGAATGAACCACTATCAACAGCCTGAGGGTTATCATTGACCAGAAACTCAACTGGACTCGTCACATAAACACAGTGACTACAAGAGCAAGTCAGAGGCTAGGAATGCTGTGGTGAGTAACTTACCTCCTGACTCCCCAAAGCCTGTCCATCATCTAGAAGGCACAAGTCAGGAGTGTAATGGAATACTCCCCACTTGCCTGGATGAGTGCAGCTCCAACAACAACCAGGAAGCTTGACACCATCCAGGACAAAAATAGCTTGCTTGATTGGCACTACATCCACAAGCATCCGCTCCCTCCACCGCCAACCATCAGTAGCAGTAGTGTGAACTAATCTACAAGATGCACTGCAGTAATTTGCCAAAGATCCTCAGACAGCACCTTCCAAATCCACTACTACTTCCATCTAGATGGACAATGGCAGCAGATATATGGGAACACCAACACCTTCAAGTTCCCTTCCAAGTCACTCACCATCCTGACTTGGAAATATATTGTAGTTCTTTAGCTGTCGCTGGGTCAAATTCCTGGAATTCCCTCGCCGCATGGCATTGTGGGTCAACCCACAGCAGGTGGAATACAGCAATTCGAGAAGGCAGCTCACCACACCTTCAAGGGCAACTAGGAATGGGCAATAAATGCCAGTCAGCCAGCAATGCCCACATCCCACAAATGAATAAAAAGCTCCTTGCACACACTGGTCTCATCTGCTCCCCTTTCCAGTGGGGAGATGAGGAGCAACATATGGTAATTAAGTGTCCCTAGGAACTCAGAGTCCATCTGCATCATTCCTCGTGCCAATTCTGGACTTAATTTCCTTGGGAATGCCAGTTTTCATGGTCAAATCAACCGCTGCCACATGTTAAAATCAACTAATAAATGGGGTAGGGAATAGGGTTTTAGATTTTTACAATGAGGGTGAGTTCATAGGTGGCCGTATGCACTGATGCAGCTACCGCAGGCTCTGTTACACTTGGGGCAGAAAGTGGTCACAAGGAGTGGGTGGGGTATTAGTGTGGCAGCACTGTTTTCACTGGACTTCCATTTTTTCTCAACGGCAAGTCTCGAGGTGCTCAGTGCCTTCCCAGATGCTCCTCCTCCACTTTGGACAGTCTTGGGTCAGTACTTCCCAAGTATTTGTGGGAATGTCACACTTTGCCAGTGAGGCCTTGAGGGAATCACTGAAGCTGGGAGTAGAGCACCTGCCTGAGGAGTCTTGCGTCGGCCATGCGGATGATTTGCCCAGCTGTCATAGCTGATCAAGGGTGGTCAGTGCAAGGATGCTGGGGATGTTAGCCTGGTCCAGGATGCTGGTGTTGGTGCATCTTTTTCAGGATCTTGTGCAGGCAGCATTGGTGGTACTGCTCCAGTACCTTGAGGGGCCTGCTGCAGACAGTCCAGATCTCGGAGTCATATGGGATGGCAAGAAGCATCACAGCTCTGTAATCCATGACCTTGGTGTCAAGTTTGGTGTTGTGGTTGTCCATTACCCTTATCCTCAGGCAGCCAAAGGCTGTGCAAGCACACTGGAGGTGGTGCTGGATCTCTTCATCAATAGCTGCTTTGGCCCACAAAGCACTCAAAATGTATTGTATGTGGTCAACGTTCTCCAAGACCTCCCTGTGGACCTTGATGATCAGGGATTCATTCCACAATGTTGGCCACGTTGGAGGAGGACCTTTGTCTAGCAGACATTCAGGGGGTGACTCATGCTGTCATATGCCTCCATAAAAGAGCTGATGATGGAAGGAGTACATCCTCTTAGATTGCACAAGTGGTTTGGGATTACACTGACTACAAGTCAGATAACTAATTAAAATAGGGAGGCACGATACCTGTTGTGGTCCACATGGTGCAGGGGTAAATTCAAAATTTTCCAAAGGTTTAAGTGAAAGATATAAGGACAGTGCACAAGACACTGATTTTCCCATCTTATGCATATCATTTATTTGAAGGAAGTATGATAACAATCTAATCCTTAAGACCTTTCAAACAATGAATAAATGTAACATTGAAAGGGTATACATGAAGAATGGTAAAGGAAGATATAATGAAAAACAAAATATGGTTTCAGTTATAAGCTCAGTATGTTCTTAAATTGGGAAGCATGGAGTTATGAAACTTGTACCATTTCTCTTTGTTACAAAGCTATGGAATTATTCACAAATCCACTGAAACACAACTTGTATTTGAATCAGAAAGGTCTGACCAGCAAACCACAATTTAGATATGTAATTGAACACAGTGCACCATGAGTTAATAATCAAAGTCATGAAACACCGTAGCACGTGTGCATAACAAATTAACAGGGCATGATTTGGATTACAAAACAAGATTAGTTTGGTTAAAAAGCATTCTATTACTTATTAGACAGTCCAGCTTGCATCACCAAGTATAAACCTTGTCACGCACAAAATGTAAAATTTATTTTCTGGGCAGTATAAAAGCATCAGTTGAACACATGCTGTATTGTGAAAGAAACATACAGCTAATCAGGTCAAAAATCAGCAACATTCAAGAGCAATATCCCCTGCAGAATATAGCTTAATGAGGAAGAGATACACATCTTTCATTTTACCATAGCACTGGTTCAGTTTTTGCCTGTTCAATCCACTTTTTAAAGTATTTGACTTCCAGAGTTCGTGCTTTTTGGACAGAGACAGGGTCCTCTTTGTTGCTTAAGCGCAGGTCTAAATGATGTGCTCCCTCAGGAATAAGTATGGCAATCAACGTATCAGAGATAGATTTAGTCACCCCTCCACTTGCCCATGGATCCAAACCACCATTGCTGTGAAAAGCAAACAAAACCAACAGTTAACAAAGCTCAAAAATGATTTTACAGAATAAGTTCAGACAACCCTTGTTTAAAGCCTATTCAAATAGCATGTTTTAATTTCAGTGTGATTGCTAGATTAGGAACATTCAGCAATAGCACTGATTTCACATTTGTTTTAGCAAGGTTACCTTTGTTTTCTCAAAAGTAAACAGTTGCTTTCTGCCTCTCTCCACAACTTTCCCAACTTGCTACCTCTCCCACTCCAATAACCCTCCTATTCACCGCCTCCTTCCCAGGCCTTTGCTTATCACCACTGTTTCTGCTCTGTTGACCATCCCAATTCATGGGATCTCTTGTTCACAACCTCCTTTAAATCAAACTTTAAGCTCTCTATTTGTTTCGTCACTTTTTGTCATTCTTTGTATCTGCATTGAACCTGTGCTAGTTTTCGTACTTTGTCTGCTTTTTCTTTTAGTTTTATGCCATACCTTCTCATCTTATTTGTCCAAGACTGCACTTCGGCAAATGAAGCTCTTGTGCTGTAGGGTATAAACTGATACCGTTTTACGTTCAATTCCTTTTTGAATACCTCCTTAGGAGGCAGGGATAAAGATCCCAATAGCTTAATAGTTTCACAAAACACAAGGTATCTACAAGAAAACTAATCTCCAAGATATCAAATCCACAAAGTGAGATTCCATATTTGGAAATCCATTGTTCAATTATAGTTGGCTAACACTGGAACAGTGGCAAGTAAGATATGCATTCCTATAGTTTCCAACATGAATACTACTAATAACTTGCTTGGCAAGAAATCTGCTTTTTATTTCAGTTGTGACTGTTCCATTGAAAGGATCTAGATGATCACAACATACTTCTAATTGGTAATAGGAAATAAGCACAGTTATGCGTAAAAGATTTTTACTATACCTATTCAGCCAAACATTTCTAGTACCCGTTTGAAAAGGTCACTGCTACATATCTACAATATAATCATTGAACACTTTTTTTACACTAGAAGTTGCCTCCACACATCAACCATTAGCACAGCTGTAAGAAGATTTCTTTCTTATAAACCATCAACTTTATTTTTACATCAAAAATACACTTTCGTTTCCAAGTGATACTTGAACATTGTGCTAGTTTTAAAAACGCACCTGAAGACAATATTGCTGTGTGAACTGATATTTTTCCCACCATAGACTGTAGTCATCCATTGAGGTCTAGGAAGTAATCCCCAGTCTTTCTTGCAGTTATCAGAGTACGATTGGAGGTCCCATGGCATTGGTTCAAACATGTCATTGATGCCATCAGAACATGAAGGCATCACCATTTCTGTGCAAGTCTGATAACAAAAAATTGACAAAAGTATAAATCTGTGACCAAGTGTTTTTTTAAGACATCTTGGCTTAAGCTGCACATTAGAAACTGAGACAAAGAAGTGACGATGTTTAAGTTATGCATATTGTAAAATTGTATGGACCATTCATGGGCATCACTATTTAAAAAAATGTTTAAACAACCTGTCATTCAATACGAACCAACACCAGAAAAGCTGGCTGACTTTACCTCTCCCTTACTTATGGAGTGAAAGCCAATTGTGGCTCTTTATTAAACAATGTCTAACATAAAGTAGACAGGAATTTGAACACGGTCCATTCTAACCTGTATGGTTTAGACCCAGAATACAGGAAAATTACTCACATATACAAAGGTAATTTCTAAGTATGACTTAACGGAAGAAAAGGAAAAAAGCGAAACATGTTTGAAGCAGAAATCAACAGAACAGGGATTAAATTCACAAATTGCCACCAAGTAACTTAATGATAGTAAGACAAGTTGAAACATTTGAAGGTGGTTTGGGTGGGGTGGATATACATCAGATATAGTGAGCAGTCAGGAAAGTAAATGCCATATTGGTCTTTAGTGCAATATTTGGAGCACACAAATATTACGTGGCTTTGGTGAGGCCACACCTTAAATACTGTGATCAATTCTGATCTCCATACTTGAGGATGGATGTATTTTCAATACAGACAGCATACTGAAGGTTCACTACATTGATTCTTGGAAGAATGGTTGTCCTATAAGGGGAGGCAGAGCAAATTAGGTCTATAGTCTTTGGAAATTAGAAGAATGAAAGGTGATCTCACAGTATTCCAGCTGTGGCCTAACTAATGTTTTATATGCTCAATCATAGCCACCTTGACTAATAAAGCCAAATATCCCATTTGCTTTCTTAGCCACCTTATCTACCTGTCTTGATGCCTAACATGAGCTATGGACCTGTTCACCAAGGTCTCTCTGAACCTCTGTACTTTGTATGGTCCTACCATTCATCATGAATTCCTTCAGCTTGTTAAAGCATCACCTCACTTTTCAGGACTAAATTCCATTTGCAACTATTCAGCCCAACTGACCAGCCCATCTATATCTTCCTCAATTTTTACCACACCACCAACTTTTGTGTCATCTATGACCTTACTGATCATACTTCCTACATTCATGTCCGAATCTCTAACGTACACGACAAACAGCAGGGGACTCTGACCGAATCATTTGGTTCAGCAGTGGACATGGGCTTTTGTCAAAACTTAATAGTCAGCAGAAAAGTCAGGTTGCTACAAAGATGCAACAAAACTAATATTACATGAAGTACATACATCATATGCTCTCATTGCAAACAAGATTTCCTTTATTAGAATACACCTGGCATGCTCATGTTACACCACCATCACACATTAATGCTTGACATATAAGAGTATTCACCTGGTAATCCCAGCCTCGATCATCAAGGCTGGAAGTTGCAGTCTGCGAGATATTCAGGCATGCTACATTGCCAGTGTAGTTATAATATATATTCACAGCCTTAAAGATGTTTTGCAGCAGGGATTCTGCTGGTAGTGAGGGGTTCTTGAGAAAGGTACAAACAACCTGGAAAGAAATCATTTTTAACAAATCAACATGATTTGAAGAAAGCTTCATCAGACTCAACATATCTACAATTCATGAAATACAGGCACATGTACAGATAAATTTTAAAGTATGTCTGTTTCAGTGCCGGGCATATCCCTGCTGAAGTGCAAGATGCTAGCTTATTTTAATTCTCCAACATATAAGATTTTATACAGTTCTCTGTAGTTTGCACATAAAACTTTACAAGATGTTTACAAGTCACAGCGACTCCAATGATGCACAAACGACCACTTGACTTCTTCCATTATTTTGGGATCACAACAGAAGTCCTACTTTTAATGAACAGGTATATAAAATACACCTTTTATTCACTGCTAGCCCTATATGTGTATATACAATAACTGTCAATATTCATAATTTTTTGTGTTAAACTATACATACTAATTTTAAAACCTGATAATAAATGTAAGATTATGAAATGCTTCCATTGTCTCTACTATCATTACATAAATTATCAGTGTAAAAAACTGGTTTGCAGCACATCCTAAACAAGCGCAACTTTAATCTTCAAGATGATATTATATTTTGTGAGTTTGTATAAATTCAAAGTAAAAAATGTGGAATATTAAGTCAGTTCCTTAAAAATATCAAATAAATCTCAGAAAATGAGAATTAAGTTCACTGCACCGTAAGTTTGATTTATTGTTATTCCCATTTCTCTGCTCCTTACCAACCCTCTTAACATTTTCTTTCACTGTCAAATTCTTGTCAATTTTTTCTCAAATGTTTTGATTGTCTCTCTGTTTTATTAGCTACTCGTCAAAATTACCCATCATATTCTAATATATCCTGTATGTGATTTGTATGTCTGGTACCTAGTATTTTTGCAATTAATTTTATTAAAATACATACAACAGCATCACTTGTTAGCTGTGAATAAAATTAATATCTGAAAATTAAAGTGTATAGAATTGATTTGCTCCACTCTTTAATAAAGGGTATCAAGTGTCAAAAATACATGCTAAAATGCAAAATATATTCAAACAACCTTTCATGCAAAAAAAATTCCAAATCAAATACTCAGTTATTTTTCATGGCAAATATTATGGAAATTTTCACAGACAGCTAGAGTCAGAACATCTTGATGATTGTGATCTTATCTGTTCTCAGACATGCATTGATTACTGAAATCATTTTTGTCAAAACACTGTGATAGCACTTTACCAGAGCAGAACACAAACAGAAAGCTTAGATTTCAGAGTTTAAACTTTCTTTCAATTGGTAATCTTTCCTGTTTTTCCATTCCTCTTTTTGCACTCATTAATTTTGAACTAAACTGTTTTGTCAAAGTGTCAACATTAATTACCTTAATAGGCCAAGCAGGAAGGGGTTGTAAAAAATTGGCCTTATATGGATAGTCCACCATAGCCAGATTAACCCAAGTGTTGCTCAGCCATGATTTGAAGAATACCACATCTGTAGCTTGTAATGGTGAACAGAGATGGAAGGTATGGGAAAGAAAGGTTAAACCTTCCGCTACAAATAGAAAGCAATAAGAAAAAGTCAAAAAACATTTGAATGTTGTATTAATGCAGGGATACCAATAGCTATAGCTTAGAAATAATAAACTAACCTAAACAGACAAGTTTAAAGCCAACTGGATGAAAGTTGAGTATTTCCTGCATGAGTGAAAATGGGCTGCAACACTACAGCAAGTTTCAACCCAGGTAAAAGCTCAACAATCAGGTAATTATAGAGGAATTGAGTATTACAGCACTGAAAGAAGCCCTTTCTCCAACTGCATCCACACTGGTCATCAAGTACCTATCCACCCCATCTTATTTCCCAGCTCTTGGCCCATAGCCTTGTTTGCTATGGAGTTTCGAGTGTTCATCTAAATTCTTGTTAAATGTTGTACTAGTTCCCACTTCTACCATTTACTTTTGTTTGTTTGGGTGTTGGCAAGGATTATAGCAATCAATACAAGGTTGCGAACGCATTATGAGAAGACACATTACAGATAAAGCCAACTTTAATACAACACAGGTTTCCAAATCAATTAACTCTCCAGCAAATCTAGAAGCTCCATTCAACCATGTCATTTTGCCCATAACAATTCCTTCACATTTGTATGGAAACCATATCATGATGTGTAAAAGGTTAATAGTTAAAAAGGGCCACATCCAGAACATGAGATCAATAAAAAAAATGCTAAATACCTTAGATGAAATATAAGTTACACAATTTCCCCTCATTTATGAGGGAAGGAAAAAATAATTTTGATGTTTGATTTGGGAAAATTAAAATCAAGTCAATTAATAGAATTTCAGGAAGTGTGGCCTAAACTATTGTATCTGAGTCATTTACAGTTCGGAGCCCTGGACCTCTGATCTAAGCAGCACAGAGGCCTCCATTCCTATAGTCAACTTTGAAAATTGTGGCAGCAAATTCAGTTAGTTTTGTAACTTAGCTTCAAATGCACACACTTGCGTGCTTTCAATTATATATAATACGTTTTCTGTCTGTCACTTACCTTGGGCAAGTAATGCGCTAAAATGTGTTCTGTGATTTCAGTGTTTCCTACTGTAATCTTGTTTTTTTTTTAGATATGGCCCATGACATGACCAGTGGGACATCAGAGGTCAAAATGAAAAACATTTGGACACATCTGATTTAAGGAATCCTGAAGTTACCATGGCATACAGGACTAGAAATTGGTTCGTAAGTAATTTCTTGAGTCATAGGGCTCAAATTGTCATATCCATTGCTGTGAGGTAGGTAGACATGCAAATTTGGTTTCCATATCCTTATTCATCAGAGCTTTTTACTTGAGTACTTAGCAAGGGATCAAGCAGTATGTACTGACAGCATGTGATGCAGTTAGCCTGCTCTTCTTAAAGCAGTATTTCCCTCTTAAAGGGAAGATGTACTGAATCAGAAACTGCTACTGAATCCTATTGCTGTGATGCTAAAGAAAGAAAATGGAATATCAGGGTACAGACAGTATCCCCAGGTTCATAGATGTAGTGGTAGTAGTTCATAGAATTGTAAGAAGGGCCCACGTGAGTCACCCTGGCATCAATTCAAGTGGAAGTTTAGTGCATGACCAACATTATGATTTGAGGATCTTTGGTATCGAAGGGTGCATGCTAAGCACTTCTTTCAGCCCAGGTTGATGATGTGCTTCTTCTCATCATAAATGTGTACGCATCCCAGGCAGGCAGACAGCAAGCACATTCACTTAAAGGGCTTGAGCAGCTTGGCTCCATTGATGGTTGACGAGCACATAATCCTTGGCAGGAAGGCAAGGATTTCAACTGCAGTCTTGAGGTGAGGGGTCACTGCAGTACCCCACACTGCAAAATGATGGTTGAGAAGCTAAATGCCCTAGTTGGGTCCTCAGATTTGGTGGATGTCTGTAAAAATTTCCACCCTGACTCCAGCTTTCCCTTATCTGAGATTTGAAGGATAAGATTCCAGAATCAAATGCCTTCACATTTCTTGGACATATATCTCCAACGTTCTCGTGGTCTCATTGTGGCTGATACCACGACTGGAATATTGCCAGCTGTAGGCGGAGCTAGTTGCACTCCAACCACAGACAAGGCTGATCTATCAGCATTTTAAATATCTGCTGGTGGAGTACAACCAGTTCTGGGACTTGATCCATCAATTCTGGGCCAAATGGAGAAGAAAGCATTAATGTTTCCCCTCCTGGCGGCCACTGTGGGATGTTAGCAAGGCTCAGAGTACATAAGGAGGTCAAACAGTTAGAATAGGTGGTGTTCAACCTGGAGTCCCCATCTTGGTAAAGCCGAAGGAACTGACAAGAAATAGAAACCAAAGTCACCACTTGCCTAAGGATGTTGACTGCTGGTTTTAAACCGCTATGGTGGCCGCTATGTTGTGGTGCCAATTATTTTAAGTAGGTTTGATTCCTCCTCCCGAGCTGGTCACCAAAATACCAAAGAAACCTGTCCACTTCTTCTGGAACAGAAGAATACAGTGAGTCCCTATGGTGGTGCAAAGTCACCCTCTTTGGGAGTATGGTCTTGTCAGTGTACTTTTTCTACTCAGCTCGTGATTTTCCACTTTCAAAATGTCCTTTTAGATGGTGTGCTCTGCCAATTCATTTCCTCCAATAGCTATACGGTCTCCATTATGACATGCAGTTCCTGCTTATAAAAAAATTTTATTTTTTCATCAGATGTGACTGTTACTGGCAAGGCTAATTGCTTTGATGAGGTGATGGTGAGCTGTCTCCTTGAACTGTTACAGTTCATCTGTAGGTTTCCCTGCCTCATTGCAGCAGCTGTTTGTCTTTTACCATGAAATAACTAAGGTCTGAAAAACTGTGCCCTCCAGCAGTAGCTGTCTCCAGCCAAGTTCGGCAGCTAAACTCTAGAAACCACCACTCAGATATTTAGTGTGGGTTCAAGCGGCTGGTAGAGGAGAAGCCAGTAGCCGTGGAGATAACCAAAGTCAGGGACATACTGGATGGTGGTAGAGCAGGCTGGATGTCACTGGAGAAGCCGTCATGACATGCCTATTTTGGGTAGCATCAAGCTCATGGCTGGAGTCATTTAAGAATCTTAAGTCTGGCCCCAACTGTAAAGTACAAAATTCTCCTGCCTGATCTGCGCATCACTTGAATGGAATTTCTCAATGATGCCAGATCCCAAAACCTCCCTCAGTAGCTTTGACCCCATAACTTGAACATCTCTTAGAAATCCCATTCGTCATTCCACTCTGTATGAAAAACTTTGCTGCTCTTGCATACTCTCTACTTCTTTGCCCTAGTTGGCTGCTGAACAGGCCATGGTGATCCATCCTGTCATCAAAGGAGACAGGAACCCCCAATGGAGAGGGTGTTAATTTGGGAGTGCTCTTTATCCATCAGGCAATTGCCATGAAGAGTATTGGATGAGGAAGTCCTGTGCAACAAATTAAATAGATTCAAAGACCCTTCTGCAATTTCTGTGTGCCAAAGAAATAGAAACCAGAATGATCATTTGGCTCCATAACCTGTTCCACAATCCAGCAGGATTGTGACTGTTTAAGATTGTCGCCTTAACTTCACTTTCCTGTTTACCCCATAAGCCTTTACTCCCTTATCAATCAAATCTATCTAACTCAGCCTTAAATATATTTAATAACCCAGCCTCCACTGCTCTCTGAGGAAGTGAACCCCAATAGCCCTTTGAGAAAAGAAATCCCTTTTTATTCCCATACAAGTAAGATGACCCTTCTTTTGAACATGACCTCTTGACTTAGGTTTCTCCAGGAGGGGAAATATCTTTTCAGCATTTACCCAATTAAGCCCCTCAGAATCTGACATATTTTAATAAGAACACCTCATATTCTTCTAAACACAAATGAGTATAGGGCCCAAGCTGCTTAGCTTTCCTATGAAACAAACTTCTTATCCCAGAAATCAGCATGGTGAACTTTCTCCAAATTCTTTTCAATGCAGTAAATCCTGCTTTAAAGTTGCCCCGCTAAACATGGTTTTGATGTGAGTTTTAATTAAGGGCCTTTGTCCTGATTAAAGTTCTGTTCCAAGTTTTAACATCGGGTTCAATCTTTCGCTACCTGATTACACTTAATCAGCGTCATTGCACACAATAGTAATAACAAACAAGCCTCATGACTGCATTGGCAAAACCAAGCATCATGACTGAGTTGGTGCCAATGTGCCTGCATTTTGTAGTCGAAGAATTTAATTTTTCAAACAGGTCTTTACTATTGAACTTTAAATGTTCTCTACTATATTTACGGTTGTAGTTAAGGAATGAAACTTTTAGTTTTAAAGTTCTCAGCTGTACTTATAGTTGAGGAACTACTTTAAACCTCTGTGATTTTTTAAGAGGAATTTCTGATCACTAGCTGAAAAACCAGGGTTGTGTTTTTAAAGAGTTCATTAATGAACTTGTACCATACAGTAGTTGAGACACTACCTGCACAGTACTGTTAACTTTGCTTTTTTAAAGCATTCTCTGAAACAAGAAGCTTGCTCCTTATTTCATCTTTCATCACTGAAGCTGATTTTGATCATGAGCAATTTCTTCTAAAATATTGCTTTCCTTGTCTCTCAAATTGTTTTGAGAGAAAAATACTGTACCACACAGTACTGTACCTATCTGCATGCAAGGCACAGGAGTCTTTTTAAAGGTATTAAAGCAGGCAAGGCAAAACAGCCATTATAAAGTCAGTGAGAAAGCAAGGCAGAGGAGTTATTTTAAAGTCCCCTGTGCTGCAATCCCTTTTGAAAATTAGCAAGAAATGCCCAGCAGAGATTGTAGTGAGCCTGCTTCAGCAAAGAGACCAAGGGAACGAACTTGGATGTTTAAAATATTTAAAAGGAGAACGAGCCATCAATATTGCTAGAGAAATGTTCTACGACAGTGAGAACAATCTTGTATTTACTGACAAAGTTCATACAAAGTGCACAAAGCATTTCAGCTTTAAGTGCTGACAAGGCAAGTTGGGCCAGCAGAACCATCACAGAGAATGTGGAAAACTCATGACTTTCTGGATAATGATCAAAGTCAGTGCCACCTGCCTCTTATAATTTGATGGCCATCCAAGACAAAGCCAAAGGGCATTGGAGTCCTTACATAATGAGCAGGGTGAATGGTGAGAGCTCACACTTATAAAGACTCAATAATCGTAGATGGTTTCACCATTTCGAGAAGTATGTCTATCTGTACAAGACAAGAATATCTAGTGAGGCAGCTCATGCTGAAACAGAAGTGGCTAATGAATTCAATGCCTATTTGACTACTTAGAAAAACAGGTTTCAACAGTGATGAAACTGAGCTTTTTCAGAAAAAATATACCCTAGTGAATTTACATTTCGCAAGAGAAGATGACGCTGGAATTTAAAACTGCCAAAGGTCACCTGACCGCTTTGATTGTTGGGATAACTGCAGGAGATTTTAGGTTTACGGTCTTAGTGCTGGAGCAGTCCGAGACAACACAAGCACTGAGGGTTATAGAGCATTTGCATGTAACGTGGCACTCATTTAAGATAGTCTGGATAACGTGGCCACATTTTCAGTAATGATTCTCTTCAAATACCAGCCTTGCATGGAGGGCACACTATGCCAGAGAAAATCTTGCCTTCAAAATATAACTTCTGTTGGATAATTATGCAAGTCATCCCATCTGCACTGATTAAGTCTCTGAAAGTGCAAAATGCTTTATCTGTTAGCCAACATGACTTCACTGATAAAGGCCATGGATCAGGGAGCAATAGCCCATGGAATAAAAGCGATAGTAGCAATGTGGACACAAAACTGGTTGAGTAACAGGAAACACAGGATAACGGTTTTCAAATATTTTTTATCTGGAGCAAGTTTTATAGTGAGATTCTGCGACCATTATCCTTTGTTTGCTGATGTTTAACAAATGTTTTACCCACATTGCTACCATCCCTTTTATTCCATGAGTTAGAACTTTGATCACAAGCCGATTATGTATCATTGTATCAAACGCCTTTCGAAAGTCTATGTACACCACATCAGCAGCATTACCCTCATTGACCTTTTCTGTTATGTCTTCAAAAACCTCCAGCAGATTAGTCAAAACCCTTTAGGAAAAGCCAGCATGAATTTCTAAACAACTCAGCATTTTCCAAGTGACTAGTAAATTCTATCCAGAAGCTTTTCCACCACTGATGTTAATCTGTAATTGTTGGGTTTATCCTCATAACCTTTTTGAACAAAGTGTAGAGTCTGAATTTTTCTAGTCGTCTATTGTCAGTATCCCCTGCAATTTCCACTCTCACTTCCTTTAATATCCTTGAATGCATCTCATCCCATTTCAGTGATAACACAGTGTGGAGCTGGAGGAACACAGCAGGCCAGGCAGCATCAGAGAAGCAGGAAAGTTGACGTTTCAGGTCGGGACTCTTCTTCAGGCTGTGTTATCTCTGAATCCAGAACCTGCAGTTCTTGCTATCTCATCCAGTTTCAGTGTCTTGTCAACTTTAAGTATCAATAGTCTATGCAGTACTTCCTCCCTATTATATTTGAACCCTTCAAGTGATAGTTTCCTCCTCTGTCATCTATGGCCTTGGTAGCATCTATTTCTTTGGTAAAGACAAAGGCAAAGGATTCATTTAACACCTACTTGTTCTTTGACCATCTTTTTATTACTGATGTACCGATAAAAGACCTTGGGATTTCCCTTTACGTTACCTGACAGTCTTTTCTCATAATCCCATTTGGTTTTTCTAATATGCTTCTTTATTTCCCCTGAACCTTCTGTACTTCTTGTGGTTCTCAATGTATTTTCATAAGAACACATTTTCTTCTTTATTTTGTTTTAATTTCTACCTGCCTGAGACAATTTGGATTTTTTTTCATGTCCACTGGTGACACTTGCTCTTTGCCCCATGAGCTCCATCGAGACCTTACTGGTGCACACCACCTTCACTTCAAAACCAGCAGTGCCTTCAAGAGATCCTCAAAATCTAGTAGCAACAAAGGCAGCACAAGAACAAGGTCTTCCCCAAGCCAAAATGCCCAGTGTCACAGTTCTAAATACTTCAGTATTGAACTCAAGCAATAATAGAGCCATAGAGTCACACAACTCTAAAGACGTCTATTCATCTTTGCCTTAAAAATATTCAAAGGTTCTGTTTCTACTGCCTTTTCAGGCAGAGAGTTCCAAAGACTGTCAACTCTCAGAGAAAAAAGATTCTTCTCATTTTGTTTTAAATAGGAGACCCCTAATTCTAGATTCTTCCTAGAGAGGAAACATCCTTTCCACATCCACTGTGTCAACCAGTTCAGGATTTTGTATATTTCAGTTCAGTCTCTCATTCTTCTAAACTCCAGCAGATACAAACTTAGCCTGTCCAGCCTTTCCTCATAAGAGAGCAAATCCATTCTACGTATAAGTCTGGTAAATGTTCTGTAAACTGCTTCCAATATACTTATGTCCTTCCTTAAATAAGAAAGGATGTGATCGCACTTTATAACTGAAGCATAACCTTCATGCTTATGTATTCAATTTCTTTTTTTTAAATCATGTGATGTGGGCTTCCCTCACCAGGCCAACTTTTATTGTCCATCCCACAGGGCAGTTAAGAGTCAACTACATTGCTGTGGGTCTGGAGTCACATGTAGTCCAGACCAGGTAACGATGGTAGTTTCCTTCCTTAAAGGATGTTAGTGAACCAGATGGGTTTATCTAAGAATGACTATGAATCCATTGTTGATTGTTAGACTTTTAATTCCAGATTTTTTTTATTTAATTCAAATTTCACTATCTGCCATGGTGGAATTCGAACATAAGTATCCAAAACATTACCTGGTTCTCTGAATTAATAGTCCAGTGATAATACCACTATGCCAATGCCTCCCCAGGGAATTGCAAATCTCTTTGCAATAAACTATACCATTTTTTATTAGCTTTCGTAATTATTCACTATTTCTACATACTAACCATTTGTAATTCATGTACTAGATCATTCAGATTAATCTATATCTTAGAACTTTGCAATTTCTCACCATTTTGATAATGTTTGTTTATTCTTCCTGTCAAAATAGACAATTCTGTATTTTCCCACATTGTTCTCGAATTGCTAGATCTGTGCCCACCCGTTCAACCCATTATCTTTTTGTAGCCTCCTCATGTCCTCTTCACAACTTACTGTCCTACATTTGTGTCATCAACAAATTTACATCCTAATGAGTGCAAGATGAAAATCTTGGGCAACGTGCCTCCCTTTTCAGCAATATACGCAAAAATAGTACATTAGTAAATAGTAAACAAACTGGCATCACCTAGAAGGCAAATGCAGTCACTGTGTTTGTATTGCCATTAGTCAGTAATTAGACTGATCCAGGACCTTTAAAAAAAAGGTACTGACATGCCACAAAATAATACTTCCACATTAAATTTACAGCTGCTAATCGAGTACTTTTGCAGGGGAACAAGTATATGGACAGAAGATAATCCTATTTTTCTCTAATACCAGTGGCATGCATTGTGTAGCACATATAGAATTCCTCTGTTCCAGTGTTTTATAACATGTTTTATAGACATGTAGTGATGTTATGAAGGCCAATGTATATGTTGCAAAAATTATTATACTCCTCTTTCTTTGAAAGAGAAAAAAGGGTATTCAAAATGAAATATTTAAGATTTTAACCAGATGGAAATCTCCAAACTAACAAAAAAAAAACTACAATATCAGTCAAAACCTAGACAGGGCTTTATTACCTGTGGATGACAGTTTATTAATTGCATCCCAAGAATTCTTGATGCTTTCAGAGCAGCCTTTTCCACTCTTCAAGAAGTCATTGGTCACAATATTATAAAAGCCTTCACATGGAGACAAATTCTCAAACAGCCATATTGGAGCAGAAGCAGCCAGAGCTCTACAACACAAACACAAAATGGCTTAGAATTGCATTCTGCATTTATTAGTGGATCATAATACTCAATATGACTAAGGTGCATATTGCCAACTTGTTTAACAAAGATGGCCGGGTGTCTATTTAATACTGGCATTAAAACAGTTGGAAACAAATTCCAAACAACCATGTTTATGAATTGACTGTGAAGTTCATACAGCAAAATCTTAACGATAAACTAGTAACACAAATAATCACTTGTTCCTTCCTAGATTTCAATGCAAAAATGTTAAATAGGATTACAATACATGTCCATACACTGTATATGCACCAGCACTTAAAAATCATGACAGAAAGCATCCAGATAGATTTAGATTTCTATAGAACCGATAAGATTTCACATTTCTTTTTAATTCAGATTATATATGCAAGTGGTTTGGATAGAACACCACACTTTCATTGTAATTTGAGTTTGGTTTTTTACATAAGTATTGTGCACTATGTAATCATTCTGATACATAGTTGTATTTATACAAGTAATCACAGAAAATTATAAACATGAAGTTAATTACAACATTTAAAATGAATTAAAGATATACTTCAAAAAGAAAAATTTTTTAAAAAGAGATTATGATAAAAGAAATTGGAACTACACTAGGAGCAGAAATAGACCATTCAGCCAATCAAGTCTGCTCCACCATTCAACAACATCATGGCTAATCTGGTAATCCTCAACTCCACTTTCCTGTCTTTTCCAATAACCAATAAGCCCAGTGAACCTCCATTGGACTGCCTCCAATGCCGGTATATCTTTCCTTAGATAAGGAGCCCAAAACTGTTCACCATATGCCAGCTGTGGTCTGACTAATGCCTTGTATTATTTTAGCAAAGCCTCACTACTTTTATACTCCATTCCTTCTGAATTAAAGGCCAACATTCTATTTGCCTTCCCTAATACCTGCTGAACTCAGATACTAGCTTTTTAGTGATTTGTGGACAAGGACTCCCAAATTCCTCTGTTCCATAGCTTTCTGTTGTCTTTCACCCTTTAAGTAATATTCTGCTCCTGTATTTTCCTGCCAATGTGCATAACTTCACATTTCCCCACATTATATTCCATCTGCCAATTTTTTGCCCACTCACTTAACATGTCTATATCTCTCTGCAGTCTGTGTCTTGCTCTCCATCACCCTTCCAACCGTTCTAATAGATATACATTGCCTCAACACTCAAAATTAATGTTTCTAGTCACTTGATCTTATATCTGATATTACTATCAATCTCTTTCTGTAAATTATTGTTAGCTTCCATTCCTTTTATTCTGGCTCAGATCGGAGCAATACTGATTAGAATCTAAACGTGAATTTTTTAAAATAAACTTTCTATTTTAATGGAGCTGAGATACTCTTGTGTCCACATATAGACAATTTATAATATTTTAACTTCTGTTATCTACCATAGAATCATACTATATTACATAGATTCATTATGTCAAAAACAGAACTTCTGAACAAAAGACAATTTAAAGACCAAACTGAATGCAAACCAGAAGTCATGTGTTTTTCTTCAAATGCTGCATATTCAAAAACAGTTTAAAATTTTTTGGTAAATTAAACAAAGACAGATTTGCTTCCTGCAAATATTTTCCCTTACCCTCCCAACTTATTACTCACCCAACAACAATGTTTGGATACTTCATCCTAAACCAGGCTGCTAACATTCCTCCATAGGAGCCACCTACAGCAATAACAGGACTAGTCCGAGCTCCAGGGATGGTCTGTTTGAGATTCCGTATAAGAACTGCAAAATCAGCCAAAGCTTGCTCAGAAGTGAAGTAATTCAAGTTCTTGAGATTCTAGAAGAGAAACATTCATAAAATATAATTCTAAATAACAACTGAAAGTGAACATGGCAGCTTAGTTCAAAGACGAGTCATCGGACTTGTAACGTTAACTCTTTCTCTCTCTACACACAATGCCAGGCCTGGCAAGTTTTGCTAGCACTTTCTGTTTTGATGACATTCCCTAATAACTTCTAAATATTTCAAAACATGCCTATGTATAAAGTTAGTTTTTAAATAGTTAAAGAGAACAATCACTGAATTAACAAAAATGAGCTCATAATTATGCTTTGACATATTTACTACATAAAACAGCATCAGTTATTTTGGGAAAACAGCTAAATTCAGCAAAAGGAGTGCAGTGCCATTTCTTGCAAGTGAATTTGAAATCCATTATGACTTAGCCTTCTTTATGATATACCAATGGCATTGATCCCAGGATCATAATAGCACATGCATCACAAACCAAGATATAGCATAAAAGTAAGGCATGAATATTATAAATAGTATAGGATCACTGTGTTATGAATAGCTATTTCACAAAATACTCACAAGAATTTAAACTAAAAATGCCAAAGCTTTTTGCTTCTTCCAAACTATTTTGCCAAGTTGTTCTTATGTGCTGTGACTTAGGGATTCACTTTACTAGCCATATATGTCAATCATCCAAGGACCAAGAGCTCCAACCCAAATTAGTATTTACTACTTACTGTTTCAAAAATTGTCCCATTCATACTCCAAAATAAGTTAAAAAGCTCAAGAAACACCCATGGCTACCCATATTCACATTTCTCTTACATCATGTTCTTCTCTCATTTTGTCTACAACATCTCCAATCCATGTGAAGTTTCAAAATCAAAATCAAAACCAAAAAGATCAAATATTTATTCAACTGTATACCTACATAGATTCTGTTTTCCCATACAAGCCTACTCTCTTTTACATTCCCTCCCAATTAATTCACTTCTGTGTTATTTAAAATTTATTGCCTCGAGATTAGAAGTGGGAACCAGAAAATCTTTTTAAGGCTGTGGGAATTTGGCAGTGAAACCTGCTGCACTCTACATCTCTCTTCTGGCGGTTTTACCAAATCAATTCAAACATCATCAATTCAGGTTTATAGGAATTGTAGGTTCTGTACATTCAATTCCCATTTGTCACCATAAACAGGCCATTACCCACCATATGAATGCTTTCTTTGTTCCTTTTCATCCACCTAAATTGGCTTTCAATTATTCCTGACAAACTATTTTGGAATTGCTGCATCCTTCCTATCAGCACACAAAGACTTATTACAGAGCCAGGAGCAAAAGCCACAGATCACAACTAAATTTTACAGTGTAATCACATTTAGAAACTGAATAAGTATTTTTCTAACTTTTACATACTTTTGTATTTCATATGACCAGGCATCAGTTCTAACTACACATCCATTCCCTGTCTGTTTAATTGTAAATCCCTTCTTATTCTCTAGTTCATCTATTTTGTTAATTTGAAAAAAAAACAAAAATCACAGATGCTGACATAAGTAGTAAAGATTTAACTGAATTATAAGTACACAATTGTGTCACAGAAATCAAGTTTCATGGTTCATGTATTAGTTTAGAAGTAATTCCCAGTGTTGTGAAGATTTTCCATAATGACAAGGTAATTAAAATGATGAACTTTAGAAATTTCCAGAACACCACAAAAGTACTAGTGGTTCAAAGTATTTGGTCATACTGAAATCAGAATGAGAAAAGAAAAACCTAATCAATAGATGAACCGACACTGAGCTTGTGGTACAGCCAGGAGATCCACACTTGCATCAATAAAATATTTATGTATGTAGCTCCCAGAAGAAAATCTAAAAGCTGTTTGTAAATAAAGAAGGTTCTTTGAGGAAACAGCAAGTCTGGAAGAAAGGCTTGCTCACTCCAATACATATATAAACCATTTATTTGTGTGTTGGAAAGAAAAGATTTTGTTTTGGAGCTAACAGTTAATTACTGCAAAATTCTGATTGGGACATCCCAGGTATGCCACATTTCCCTGTAGCTTTATTGGATAGAACAGTTCTTCGTTGTTGGGTTTATTGTGTTTTGCTCACAGAGACAAGCAGTTTAGCTTGGAGAAGCCAGAAGATTTTGGACTTAAATCTGAAAACAACCAAGTTTGTGTGTTAGCCCCAAGTTCAAAAGGCGGAAGAAAGTTATTTAATAAGAACTGCTAACAGAAGAAGTGTTAAACCAGGATATTTCTAGATTTCTGTTAAATTCAGTGAACAGGAATTGCGCGTGAAGTTCAGGCTTGAGCTGAAAAATCATGGACTCTTCAAGGGAGCCAAGGAAAAAAACTGGAGTTAGTCTGAAGCAAGTGGATAACTTTAATGAACATGATAAGTAGCCAAAGACTTTGAGAAAAGTCATAAGGAAAATGGAAATTTCTGTTGAGAATTTTAGTCTAAAGCGTATGTGATTATGTTTCATTATGTTTTATGTAAATTGTAAATAATTACCTTAAAATATGTTTATTGAATTGCATTTGCTTTGCTTGATGCTTGCGTACTAAAATTCATTTGTTTAAACGATAAAACCTTGTGACTTCAGTCTAGTAAATAACTGGGATTTCAATTTTATCTTTAACTGTTAACAGTCTTTACGTGTGTTGTAACAATTGTGATTCCAGACTTCAGATGCAAGCACCTTTGGAATGGTTTTCAGTATTTCACTGTCCGTATAAGTCAAAGATTTACTATCATTCACTTAATTGCAGAAGGAACAAAGGACAATGGTAACACAATAATAGAGACAAAAGCAGTTGTCTCTGAAATAAACCTGATAAAATATTAAGTTTGTAACATGTATTTTTCCAAACTTACACTGAATGATTTGCTCCCAAAAGGCAAAGACTCTCCATAATACCGATGTTCGGCAAACACCAACATGGCTTCCAGTTCCTTCGAAATTTCCCACATAAAACCCTAAAAAATGCATAAAAGCTATGATTTCAACATTGAATATAAACAAATGAAGCAAAAAGTACAAAGGCTGAGATCAAGTCTGATAAAGTTAAGAAGAATAACTTGAAGGAAAAACATCAAATTTACCCATCTATTTTAATAATGATCCTCAGTATTTCAATTTAAATATAGGATTAAGATTTACCATCATTCATTTATTTTTGGGGAAGGTTGGGGGTGGTGGGAAGAAAAGAAATATCACCATCCAAGGCCCTGATGCTTTGAAGCATACTATGTGCTTGCACCAGAACTTGTCCAGGTAATGCCCTTTTTCTTGGTGTAAGCTACCATTAGTAATTTAGCCATGGACAGCAGCAAAGACAGAACAAACATACTTAATCAACAAGCCAGAATAACAGAGAAAGAAACTGATGCCAGAACTAAGAAAATGCATTTAAAAATAAGATAAAAGGCAAGAGTGAACAAAGAAGAAAAAGAAATAAGGAAAGACAGGAAAGAATAAAAATACAACATGAACGAAAAGGAAAGAAGGAAAGAAAGTTTCCTTAAGCATTTCAAATACAAATTAATTTTGAAAACATACCATTGTTTTAAATAGGTAAATGCAGAAATTAATTTACCACAGCAAGATTCTCCAAGAGAAGGTGATCAATGATTAATTAACCTGTTTGTGATCTTTTTTAAGTAATCCAATGTACATTTGACCCCTTGATACTCATTGTCTTACTGAACTTTTACATTACTCAAAAGCTTTATATTAAGCATTTAGCAATCAATCCATGATACGAGTATCAGTTGTTTCTACTCCTTCCTTTCTCCCCCTCTTTTGGTCTTAATCTTACTAATTATAACAAACAGGTTCTGATACAGGGCTTTATCTCAAAAATTTATTATGAGTTACTTATTATTTACAGAGGCTGCATATTTCTAGCATTATGCATCTTTACTTCTGCTTTTGTTGATATTCCCAATCACGAGAAGGAAAACATAAACCATACATTCTATTGTCCATTTTTCATGACCTCTTAAGTGATAGGCTTGCCAAGACCCTTTTCCCATAGCTGTCTGATTTGATGAATACTATTAGTTCTATACAAATAGAGCAAAGGTCTGACATCTACAAACTGATACTCCATTTAATGGAAGAACAACAACATTCATTATAATGCTAGGCACAATGCTAGGCCAGAGAAATGGAGAAATCAAGGGAAGGGAATAGGAGTCTACAGGTTTACTATGGGACTGAAAAAAGCAAGAAAGAGGAACAAGGCCATGAGGAGGTGGAAACACAAGATAAATTTAACCATCCCCTGCTACCTCCACACCACCAAAAAAAGATTTGAATGGGTTAATAGTGAAAGCTGAGAAAATTGCTATAATCCAAAAATGTAACTTTTGAACTCAGTCTAGCTAGATACTACATACAGCTTTCAAAACAATCATTTTATATGGCTATTAAGAAATTCATCTTTTAATGTAGCAAGTTTCTATTTAACAATTAGCAGATTATTGAATCCATGATAGGAGTATCAGTTATTTCTCCTCCTTCTTTCCCTACTCTTGGTTTCAATAGCAAATACAACTTACACTGTTAAAAAGGAGTTACTGATCTCCATTGAGATAGTAACAACCTCAAGAGTACATGAAGACTGAATTAATGAGGCCAACGTCAGGCTGATTCTCAATAGTGAGGTGGGAAAGAAGTATACAGAGTGATCAGCTAAAGTAAATTAATATACAGTAAAGATTACAGAAGTTTGACTGAACCTCTATTTACACAAGTGCTAGGAGTAAAATGGGTGAATTAGAAGTGCTAAAAAGTAGACTGAAAATAAGCTTCATAAGAGTGACCAGAAAATTGACTAATGAAGTATGAGGATTGGAGAATAAACCTACTAAGCTTGTCTGTGCTTTGTGGGGGAGAAGGAGAAAGGAAGGTAATACTTGTCAGGGAGGTGTTTCATATTACTAAAAATTGAATGCTGGAAATTATACTGAGCCTGAGGCTACTGAGATGTAGCCAATGGAAAAGTGACATGGACATGATACGGTACAAACAGTAAAAGAAGATAGCTGTAAGATCGCTTTGGAAATCCAAGAAAGAACTGAACAGGGTGTGTTCAATTGTGATCATGAGAACTTCAATCATCCTAACATTCATCTGATGCACAGGGAGGACAGCATCAGCGGTTTTGTCACAGGGTGATGTTATGTGTCAAATGTAGTTGCACGTAGCGGTGGGCTAGCTTACTGTAAAGAGGGGACCAAATTTCTCCTGCCAGCACACAGCCTCAGCATCACTAATATCCACGAATTGTCAACTCACAGTGACAGATAGCAACTAGGAATCGGATAGCCTTGGGTTAAATTGCAGGGATTCTCAGCCCCAAAACATCTAATATTGTGAGCCACTGGCATCTGGACATGTCCTGTCGTCCATCAGCCTAGTCCAAGCTATGGGTCAAATGGTACTCACTGCCTTGTGGATCTGGCTATGAAAAGTCAAAGCTATTGCATTGGAGTCCTATAGGTGGCTGGTGACCTGTTTAAGCAAGCACCTTCCAGTAACTGCTGCAACACTGTGGATTTTACACACAGGCGTTTCTGCTCTTCTTGTGAATTTAGTTCATACGGTCAAGAGGCAGATGCAGATGCTGAACGAGAATGTGTCTCCAAGTCCTGATCACAGCATGCAGACAGAAAACATCCACTTAAACATCCAACTCTCTTTCTCTGTGTGTACAGCAAAGACAGAAAAATCAAGAAAGCTTGAGAGAATGCAAACAATAAAATGCTTAAATCCACCTGATGAACCACCAAAACGAAGAATGACTGTCACCCACAAGCAGCAGTCTCATCGTTGCAAAAAATCAAGGGGACTGAGAGAAGTTACTTTCCATATTGTGCCTGGACTTCTGATCTTCAGAATTTTATTTACGGGTCTACATTCCTTCTCCACCCATAATATATGTATTGAAATATTTGTCTTTTACCCATCTTAAGTGTGATTGAGTAAGTGCATATTTTGGGGTTTTGAAGGGGTATATTTTAAATTGCATAGTAGGAGAATAGAAATCTTTTCTTTTCACTGCTCTTGTTAAAATTAGGTGTTACAATAAATAGTTTGTTACTGACAAAACCTAGAGTGAAGTGCTTTCATCCTGAGTAGCAGTCAGTCAAGCAAAGTGGTGGTCTTGTTGGAATTTTATCTATTTTAATTATAGCTTGAAGGACAGTGGTGCATGATTACCAGTGCAATCTTCCAATTAAGTCATGATACTTGTTGAAACAAATGTAACTATTTCCACGGCTGGATATCTGCTGTAGTCATCAATAACAACTCACAATTTTTCACTAGTGAAAAATCAACACTAATTTCAGTTCACAGTCCTGGAAGTAGCTAAGCCATTTTCAAGAGGATTGAGAAGATGTGATATTGTGGTTGCTTCTTGACATGGTAAGCACAGACCGATTTTGTGTTCAAATATGCGGTCAATTCCTGGGAACCATATGTTTCTTCCATGTTGTTTAGTAGTCACAAATCCCTGATAACCTACAAATGCCACATCAATAGCACATTCCCTAATGATTGTGGAATGACAATGCTATTGATGTGGAACACAAGATCATGGGTTATAATGGTGACCTCATTCCAACATTGTGCAGATCACTTAGTATGTGTGCAATTTTGTCTGTAAGCACTCTTCTGACCACATCATTCCACTTTCATGATTCCATAGGTATCATGCCCAATGCTTCCTCTTGTTTTGTTGCTATTTTGATGTCAGCTAGTTTTAGCAGCTTTGTCACCACAGTTATATCTAAGTTGTTAAGGTGTAATTTACCAACATTTTCCTCATCAGTAGTATTACTGCTGGCAATGGATGTTGTGAGAGACAGTATACTGGTTGAGCTTGCCTGGCTGATACTCAACAAGCAATTTGCACTTCTGCATCTTCGATATCCAATGCTGTACTCAAGTTTTCATGTGGATCATTGAACAAACTTACTAGGGGTCTGTGATTGGATTTCACTTCAAACTCATCTCTACACAACTAGAAATGAAAATTAAGAACACCCTATGCAAGAGAGCACATCTTTGCAAATAATATTGCTCTACGGGTATTAGAAAACGGCTTAACATTGCAACAATTGATGGGTTCCCTAACTTGTCTTTTTCCTGGAAAACTATTTAGCCAAAAGGCTTGTATTCAAGACCAGCTAGGTGGTTTTCTCAGTCTAAATAGGCATTTGTACAATTTCATGACAACTGTTGTTGATCTGGTATACAGCTCGTTTGTGTGATATGGTCCACTTCCACTTGGTGGTCTCATTTGTTACATTGCATAGTGAGACCAGGACTGATGATTCCCAGAAAACTCCAAACTTCCCGCAAATTTGTTGCGTCTACACCACTTGCAATGGTTTCAACTTTCCATGGATCAAATAATGCCCCACCATTGTTGAACATATTACTGAAGAATGTGATTCTAATCTCATTGAACAAGCACTTGACTTTTCTCAAGGTGAAAGCATGTTCTCTAAGATGCTGTAAGCATGCAAATAGGCTTGGCTTGAGTTCCCTTTCCATTTAACTACAGATGTGCATGTCACAACTAATGTTCAGTATGCCTTCAAGTTCTCTTAGCGCAGACTGAATCACATGCTGAAATATCTCCACTGTGCAAAGTTAAGCTCCTTGTATTGCAAACCTCCAACATGGTGCACAATACTGTGAAATACCTCAATTCTTCTGCAAACTCAATTTGATAGTATCCTGAATTGAGATCAAGTTTAGCAAAGTGTTTAACATCATGCACTCTCTCTATATCATCATCTGTCAGTGTCAAGTGCCTTTCCCAATGTATGAGGTGGTCTGTTGACTGCATATCAATGTGGATTCTCCTGGCTCTTGCTTGAGTTTCTTGATGACTTGCAGGGTGAAAACCACACGTGGGATCACCCCCAACCTTTTCAATGAGGTCAATATCACGTAGACG